TTATTATTTATTTTAGTGTTCTGTCTGAGGACAGGTCCATATGAGCAGGATCCTTCCATCCTTTTCTCGGATTGGGACCTGTTCATATACGTTCTTGGCAGATGATCCAGAAGTGGTTTGCCATTGCCTTCTTCTGTGTGTGAATGGAGTAATTGTTGGGATGCCACGGAGAAACCGGGGAAGCCCCCGGAGGAAAACTCCGTGTTGCCTAGACCACGGCCTTGCCCAACACAAGTTAAAAATTCGGGCACCGCCGGGAATTGAACCCGAGACCCCAGGATTACAAGGCCAGCGTTCTAACCGCTAGACCACCGTGGCTCGTAAAAAATATCATAAAATCTGTAATTTATAAATTATGATGATGATGTTGTTGTTCAGGGTTTTGGCGTCGTGTGAACTCGACACATATTTCTGTATGAAACTTTGACATCTACCGACGAGTTAACACGTTGCCAAAACTCAAAAAAAAAACCTCGTCATATTCACAGGAATAATAATCTCAGTCTCATATGAAGGAAAAAGTAGCTTTACCGTACTTACCATTGGTCAACATTTTCAGTACAGTGAGAACTGTGATTGCTTGCACCATGCTGGGAAAGTAATGTTTCCTTTTCATTTTGAATCGTGTCCCAGTAAGAATCAAGCTGACATGTTACTCGAGTGGTCCAGTAACAGCTCGGCCACGAGGTCTTTTCAGCGGTCGACACACGTTCCACGGCCACACGCACCACCGTACCTCACTACAGTGTCGGTTAGTTCTGCGCCAAAGTTCGAACATCACACGAAACATCTCTCCGCCCTCTTCGCCCCTCAGGTGGCCTTGATTGTCTTTTGGCACGGATGTTGCCTTTTGTCTGGACGTTTCCGGAGGGAAGCCAGCAGCACGAGATGGTCGGTGTGGGGGGGTCGATTCCCTGGGGTCAGTGTATGACTCTTATCAGCGCTGTTACTAACAAAGCTATAGAACAGTTAATCTGCATCGACATGGGTTAATTTTCATATTATACATTTCATCGATTCAGGAGATTCATGTTTCCTCCGATACTCTTTTGTTCGTTTAGACTCTGTCCACGAATTTCGTGTTTTCTAGAACACCTTTCGCGGGCTTCACAGGCTAAACCATTTTCTGTATATCTTAAGACCGTTTTGTCAAATGAGTTTCCGGAGCATATTTTAATCATGAAACTATGTAGTTTGCTTCATATTTGCAATTTTAAGTACATACAGGGTGTTCAAAAAGTCACGCAAATAATTTCTGACACACGTTTTCTTCGTCAAAATATACATTACGTTGAAAACAAAAGGCAGTGTCATATCTAGTTCTGGAAATGTCCACCGTGTTCAGCGACGCATGCGTAAACTCTTTACCGCGTCTTTGATAAAACCCGATGAGTTTCTGTGTCACGGAAATGGTTTGCCAGACGAAATATTATCGATCGTTTTGGGAAAGTAGATGCCAGGAAGCGAACGACAATGGACTCTCGTTGCACTTGTGAAAAAAGACGCCCTTTTACAATGTTATTGTAGAATTAAGAAATATAAGAAAATATCTGTATAAAATTAGTTGCGAATGGGAAAATAAAAGTGTTGAAATCATTAATAAAGAATTGAAAAAATAATCCAAATTTTAAATCATGTTTTAAGACATTATTCATTATTGGGTCGGCAGAATATGAGGTCGAAGTTTCGGTCATCCATGACGAATGTAATGGCGAATTTCCTTTGTTTTGTTTTTTTTCGTTATTGTATCCGGAAATGATGCCGCGAATATTACGCGTGGTTGGAATGTTTTGGATCCCGTGTTACAAATGCGAATTGGATGTGTCGTCTGTCCTAACGGTGATCTGAGTTCCAGACATGCATGTGCGCAGATAAATGCCGATTTTCACATATGAAATTCGTAATATGCAATTAAAGTACCCTAGCTAAGTAGTATCGATTAATCGGAAATGGTTGCCTTTCGACCATTGTTACTAGCTTAATAGTCTAAAACAAGTCGATTTTAAGGAGTTCCTATAGATTGTAGTTCCTTAATATAGGACCGTTTATAGACGCTGTGGTGGCAACAATGGAACCAGATATTATGAATTTTCATTGTCGAACACTAGAGTTTAGAGACACATTTCTCGATTCTAGTGTGGCATACAGATCGACAGGAGACAAACCGTTCCATTGCATCTAACAAGAGGAAAATCCTTAGATGCATTGCTGAATGGACTGCGTTACTTTATGATTAAACTTAATTTTTTACTTTTGGTCACTAACTTCGGTATCAGATGTGTAGATACGTTTCCGAATGTATTAGGGCGTTGAGCTTAAATTGTTGGTGTTAAGTTTAAGGCGACTAAAAAATAGTAACATTTAAAAATAATAAACATTTGATGCGTTATCTGATTCATTCATTGAGAGGTCAATGTGATGTCCACCTGTGGGAATTCGTTGCTCCAGCGCTCTGACATGCACGTGTACACTGTGGGGTAACGCGAACTCGTTCACGACGGAAAGGTTATAGGCAGGAGTTTTTCCTCCCAGGGTATTCATAACATTGTGTTAGGTATTATATATATTGAATATGTTCAACACGAATTAACATATCGCAATATCACTGCCAAGTGGAACGTTCTTGTATCGATATAGAAATATTCATACGTGTCTGTCTTCTAGGTTATTGGGCCGTGTAGTCTGATAGAAGTTTCGCAAACTTTCAGAGGTCCATCATCAGGGTTTATAGTCCATCATGCTGATAATGCTGGCAGATTGGCAGGAAATCGCACCGAACTGGCCAATGCATGGCGTCATTTGTGGTTGAGTTAAAATACAACTGACTCATCTTATCCCACATTGTAATATAATAGAAAATGGGCTATAATGAAAATTGAAGGTCGAAAAAGTGTTACAGTTACTGGCCACCAGGTCATACCACCGTGCATCCGCCATTTTGAAGGCTACTAGTTACTGGACTGAAGACTTCTCATTGTTGGGTTAAAGTACAGAATAGCAAATTGTAATGCCAGAAATTATATTCCAGTTTTAATTGCAAGGATGTTGTTTATTTAACTTTTATATTTGTTGTTGTGACTCACACAGTATTGATGAATTGGCAGTAAAAATCAGGAGATATAGTTGAGAAATTTTGGCTAAGAAGAGCCAATATATTTGAAAATCTTGTGCAATGAAGAGAAAATTTAGTGTTTATGAACTGAGTTGATTTTCAGTTGACAAAACACGTGCCATTACGGAAAAATATAAAAAAAATGTTGCAATGATGCTTCCGGATATGTTACAAAAAGTTTTATTGGACTCTGAATGAAAACTTTATTCAGCATTTTTATCTGTGTAAAATAGAATTAACATGTTGATTCTTGAAGTAGGTCTATTTTATAAATATAATTTGACCATAAACATGTTAAAGAAACCACGGAAATCTACATAACATTTTATTGTTAATTGTATCCTTGTATTCTGCTCCAACTGCAATGAACTCTCAATATAGTATGAAATTTCAACTGAATGACGCCATTTTTATCGAGAAGCGACAACTGTGATGCTTTTCTCTGACGGATCGTTCCGGGCGAGGAAACTCTTTCATTCTTCGTCCGTCTAGGAGATACGCTTTGATGCAGATGCGGACTGTGCCAAGCGTAGCGATGCTTCTGTGCTATGAGTGCGAAAATTGACATGACTATCGGAAATTTAGCACACGATAGATACGCCAAAGAAGAGCGTAGAAATCCGAATTCATGAACTTGTAACCATAGAAAAATGCAAGGAGACCAAGACGCGCGTTTAAGCACCCTACAAATGCTTGAAAATAAAAAAAAAATTGTAAAGTCTGTATGGACTTTAAAAATATTTCCCGTTGTGACGTTAGTAACAATTTGCTTCAGTGTTTTCAGTCTAAATTAAATACTATAATGACTCCAATTTTCTTCCAGTTCTGTAAGAATATGCTTTTGGACGTCATTTCTCATATATAAGAAGACAGACACTGTAATGTACTTCCCCATATTACAAAATGGTCGTTGAGGAATGGATAAAACTGAGAAATAACTTCCAGGTTGCCCAGATATTTTCCATTTGTAGGAGACTGCAAAATTCAATCGTTCCCACGCAAAGCTAATCATCTTCAGTCCAGAATGGTCACTACACACACTGAAGGAAATTCTGCCAATCGTCTACTTGATTCTCATATTGCTTCTCTATATGAATATTAACAGATCTTTGTTGTTTACTCTTGTTTGTTTGGTGAAGTGGGTAAAATCGCTGTAGCTGAACAGTCATGGAATCATCAAGGTCGTCCTGGAATGAAACGCAACTATCGTTTCGATTCGATAATCTAAATGCGAGTCTTAGGTCTCGTCCCATTATCATCGTTGGTTGCTGTTGATAATTACCTTGTTGTTGACGTGGTATTTCCTAACCTATATTTGATATTATGGCGTGACTATCCTAACCTATATCTGATATGACAGGTTTCATGTAAAGCGTAAAGTATATTCAGGTTGGAAATATTCTATACTGTTGCATGAAGTAATGTGCTCCTCAGTCTCTCTGCAATATAAAAATGCTTTAAAAGACGAATAGGTAAATTTGAGTATCTGAAGTTGGACATAGTGCCCTTAAATTATAATGAGTGAAAACCAACAAGAGTTAAATAAAGTTAAAATCATAACATGGAATGTAAACGGTATTCGTTCGCTGTATAAAGATGCTGCTTTCATTAAAAAAGGACTTGATTCGTTAGATGGCGATATAATATGTCTTCAAGAAACGAAGATAACACGTACGTCAATTGGTATTTGTATTTAAGATTATTAATGTGAATGTATATGTAAGGCATTTTCTTATGTTTTGTTTCTTAACAATGATATACCTTTGGAATCGTTTTAGAGTTGCTTACTGCTTCCATCATCTAGTCGATTATGGAGGCAGTAAGACATTTCAAATGTCAGTAAACTTCTACCACATTAAGTGATGCAACATCCCAGAAGACAGTCATCTTAATGCTCACTGTTGTTGAGAACCTGAAATCTCGTCAAGTAGCCAATTGTTTACTGTTACACAACTATGCCAAAAGTGTGGGTAGCATTTATGTGAAACTTGCATGAACATGTTAATATTACATCTGATGTATCTTGAGGGCTCAACAAGTACACTCATATACTGATTTATGACAAGTGAAAAGCCATGAGTATGAAGAAAAAAATTGTTATTGCTGTATGTGTTGCATCTGAATTTTATAATTCTTAATGTGGTTATACTCGCTGAACAACTGATGTTTCTAGTTAACTGGTTGACAGAGATAATATTTTTTTTAACCTGTTTATCATGCTATCAACCTAGTTTATGCCAGTATCATTACATTTACATTTTACAGGAAGTGCCCTTGATCAGGGAACAGCAATTGTTGATGGTTACAACTCGTATTATGCATTTTCAAGAAGAAGTGGTTACTCTGGTAAAGTAAACGTTCCTCCTTGCACTTCTTCTGACATGTTGTTTTAATAACATACTTAAATGTGGTGAATTTAAGTATTATTCCATTTTTAAGGTGTAGCAACATACTGCAAAGATGCCTTTACTCCATTTAGAGCAGAGGAAGGTTTGTCAGGCCTTTTTGAATCCTCTGGTGCAGTGGATAGTGTGGGTTGTTATGGAAACATAAGGGCTGAATTCTCTAAGATTGAACTTAGAGAAATAGATTTAGAAGGGCGAGCCGTCATTACTCAACACAAAATTAAGGTAACTTATCCTGTATACAGAGCTTTGATTTATCAGTTGTAAGTACTAAATTATTTTAGTGACTACCAAGATATGGCATGCAATGAAGTCAGTAAAGTTTGGGCTTTCATTGAGTTGTAATACAAAGAATTTCAAATTAAGGTAAGGTTAAGAACCTACTTGACAATTGAGAGAAAATGTAGCAAGATGCAGAGGATTGAAATATATTCAGTTGGAGGGCACTCTACGGAATACTGATTGTGAGGATATTGGCAGTGACGACGAAAAATGGAACCATTAGTTCATCTACTGAAGACAATGATTTTTGTGATCAATATGACAACTTTATCAAAAATACCAGTGCCAGTGACAACTCTGGATGTATTTCAGTTATAATAGTTTAGATATAATTAGTGGTAATCATGTAACGATTATGGATAATACTGGTACCAATGCTTGAGAATTTATCACATCTTAACAAGAGACTAGGCATCCTTCTTAAAAGTTGTATGAATACCAATGTGTCATTTAGTAAATATCTTGGACAAAATGTAATAAAAAATCATGAAGTACATCACCTTTTTTTGTAAACTAGGACTTAGTGTGTGTGTGCTGAAAATAATACAACCAGCAAAGTTTAATGAAGTCCTTATATTTTCTAACTTATCAAGATATCCAGTGGAGAAGATAAGACACTGACGATTATCAACGTTTACTGTCCAAGAGCTGATCTTAACAATACAGAAAGGCTTCGAGTTAAACTGAGATTTTATCATCTTCTTGAGGTTCGTACAAGGGCTATATTGGACTCCGGAAGCTACGTCATTATAGTTGGCGATATAAACGCTTGTCATAAGCCCATTGATCACTGTGACCCATCAGATGTGGTAAGTGATTAGTCATTTCAAGTTCTGTCAATGATAATGTCAATGTCTGTCAGATTACTGGATGGGTGTACATTTAAGCATGAAACACTAAACATGTGTTAATGATCTTGGATAGAGAACAGATGGATGTATTTTAATATTGTTGTGTGTTGAACAACAAGCTGGGTACAGACAGGCTGGCATAAACAGAAGTAATTGTCCCAGAAGCCATTCTTTCTTATGGAATAATAATTCATGATAGATGCAAGCAGTTTTCTCCGTTATGAAGTACTGTTACGTGGCAGCAGTTCCTTACCAGGAGACCAACATCAACACAAGATAGACTGAATAATTTTACAAAAAATATAATGTTGCATACAATTATGTGCTTTATCTAAACATGATCAATAGCTTGTTCATTGCAGTGGAAATTATGTTTTGTTTATTGTCATATACTTATCCATACAGAAGATTTGAGATTACCACCTTATCCTTAAATGAAGTACTGTCATAAGTTTATTTTAAATGTAAATATTCTAAACTGCATCATTTCTTATACATTTGTTTTGTAATATAACATCACATTTATAAGTTACCATAAAGACCTTAATTTTTATAGGAGGAATTCAACGAGAATCCTTGCCGAAAATGGTTGAACCATATAATATATAATCCAAGTGCAGAGGTAAACACAAATAATGTGAATATCAGTACATTCCATTTGATTGATGCATTCCGCTTTGTAAATCCTGTGGAAGAAAATGCTTTCACTTGTTGGTGCACCACGCTGAATGCTCGATCCACAAATTACGGAACTCGAATAGATTACATTTTAATTGACTTGAGACTTGGAGGTGAAATGGATGATTGTATCATACTCAGAGATGTGCTTGGAAGTGACCATTGTCCTGTTAAAGCCATCATTTATTTAAAATTTCTTAGATCCCCAAAATATCCTTCATTTTGTACAAAATACTATCCAGAATTTGCTGGCACTCAAAAGAAACTGTCTGAATTCTTCAGCAAAAAGTCCTGTGACCAGGAAATTTGTACTAACACCACAATAGATTATACAGAGGATGCAACAATTTCTTTTGGTAAACGCAAGCTGCCAGGCACTAAAGTAATGCCCAACAGGTCAAAGGGTGACACCAAGAAACAGAGGGGCATCTCAAGCTTTTTTAAACTCTTGTCATCTGAGACCCAAAGTACAGATTCCTGTGAGAGTGTTGACGTACATAGTCAGGACTCTGGTAAGGAGTCGAGTCTGGAATCATTGAGCTCTTTGAGTGCCTTGAGTGAAGTTCGTCCAGATTCTTGTGAGTCTTTCCAGCCCCTTCCTATCGTTGATACTCCAAGCAGTGGGGACATGACAGAAGAAGGTTCTTCAATTGTGGTGTGTAATGAAAGTGAAGCAGAACAAAATTGTTCCGCTATTTCAGGACGTGAAAAGAAAGCGGCTTCTGATGCATGGAAAAGTATGCTTACTGGACCAAAGGCACCCCCAAAATGCAAAGGTCATAGAGAACCTTGCGTTCAGAGATGTGTAAAAAAGAAGGGACCAAATTTCAAGCGCAAGTTTTGGGTCTGTGCGAGAGGTGAAGGGCGTAGCAATGACCCCCATGCAAAATGCGATTATTTCCAATGGTATTCAAACAGGTGACATGTTACTTACGTCTCCTGTTGAATAGTTTGAAATTTAGAAGCCATAGTCGCACGTGTCTGCTTTTATGTGAAAATAATTTGTAATGAAACTATTTGTATATCGCTTCATACCATTTATGAATAAAGATTCATGGGTAAGACTGAGTCTCCACTTTTTGTTTTGGTATTTCTTAGGTGATCATATTATTGTACCTGCCATTAAGCTTTTAGTCGTCATGAATAATGGTACCTAAATTGGCTGGTCTTATGTGTCTTATCATTGTGTATTAACATGCTATATTATGAAATGTCAGTTTTTAATCCGCATGTTACGTACATAATATTATGAATTATGGCTCTGATTCTATATCTTATTCTATTGCATGTGTAAAAAACTGTGCCAGCTAGAAAAATATTTTGAATTAGTAGAAATTTGCTACAATGGAAATGTGAACATTATAAGCAGCTACTTTTTATCAGATGGTGCAATGGAGACTGAAAATTTCGGCCGAGTGGTTAGCATTCCTG